CCGCCCCTCGCTCCTAGACAGGTGAGAATCTCCCCTGCTGTTGCTTTCTCGCTCTTGCTGCGTAAGGAGGGAATGTATTGTGATGGTGCGCCGGAAAACTGCGAATTTTTGACAGAAAACATTAATGAAAAAGTGGATACATGTGGTTCAGATATATAATAATTTACTTTCCAAACACGTTGTGAAGTCAAAATCCAACTTTGTATGTCTTTGATACGGAAAAATTGATTGATGTCAAAACGTGGCCATCCGTCGATCGGTCCGTCCGTCCGTCCGTTCGTCCGTCCGTCCGTCCGTCCGTCCGTCCGTCCGTCCGTCCGTCCGTCCGTCCGTCCGACCGACCGTTCGTCCGTTCGTCGGTCCGTCGGTCCGTCCGTCGGTCCGTCGGTCCGTCCGTCGGTCCGTCCGTCGGTCCGTCGGTCCGTCCGTGTATGGTCACCACTAGCGACCAACCCATTCAGCAGATTTTCTCCAAAATTGTTATTTCTCGATAGATTTAAAGGAACTCGACGCCCTCTGAGTTTGAAACTGGTATTTTGATTTTTTGGCGGCACTTTACATGAAGCTTCAATGACATTTTAAATTTTTTCTCAAAAAATGGCTCCGAAGTTTTGGAATAAACTTTTCCTCGAATACTGTACAGGACACTTCAAAGAATTGTTCAGGTCTCATTGTTGTTAACCCTGATATTTCGAAAACTGCTAAATTCTAATTTTTTCCAGCATCTTCCTACAAATATAATATTGAAAATCGAGAATTTTTCCTCAATGAAATCTATTCTTTACAGAGGTATTTTGAAATAAGATCCTGTACTTTTTTTTGAAAATTTGAGTGGTTTTCCCCTTAATATTGTGTAAAATATTGGCAATTTTAATTTTTTTTTAGCAATTTTTATCTCAAAACAAAAACGGCTCCAACTTTTCTTTAATATTTCTCTTCGTATGTATCAAAGGACGGTAAAGAACAATCCGTATTTTCGAAAGAGGCAAAAAGTTAACTTTTCAAAAGTACAGAAGTAAAGACCGAAATATTTGCTGGTTGAAAACAGATTTGTAGGTTCATGTAGTAGTGTAATATTGGGAAGCCATTACAAATAATGCGCGAAAATAAGTACTGTTGGAGCACGTCTAGTTCGTTTCTCTTACTGGTGCACAATAGTCCCGAACTGTGTACATGCCACATGTACTCTAGGACATTTGTAGAAAGCAGATATTTTATTTTTTGCCATTCATAATTCTTTTCGAATGAGTTAATGACGCTGGAGCCCAATGTTCTTTACATTAGTAACTGTTCCGATAGATCTTCATGCAAAATTGTTCTGCGATTGTCACAGAGGTACCAAAAGTTTGGGGACATCTTTAGTGAAGGGAACTGCATTTTTGTGACGTTCACGAAAAGTACTGTGAGGTCTTTGTGAGGATTTTCGACCTCAGTACAGAGCCACCAAATAGAAAAATGCGAGCTCATGAACACAGGTTATCTTGCTTACCAAATGGCGCCAGGGTTAGTCGCTTAGAAGCTTTTTGAAAGTAATCGGGTACATTATATCAATTGGAAAGAAAAAAACGGCATTTCCATCCGCTGATCTATCTTCTCTTCTTCTTCGGCATTTTCCCCTTAAGTGTTAGCCGTTTTCACCCTCAACAGCTCTCGGACCTCCCAATCTCCTGGTTTGAGACCTCTACCCACCATAGCTTTCTGAATGTATTTTTCTCACTCTAAGACGGGTCTTCCTCGTTTTCTCCTCTCATGTGGTTGCCACTTTAAGACCTTGTGTGAGGCATTCTCTGAACATGTCCATACCATTGTAGTGCTCTATTTCCCCAGGTCTTCGTAATAGAACAAATTCCATTCATCCTTCTCCATATTTCTTCATTCCGCACTCTGTCCCTGCAAGTAAGTTGTTGGCATCGTCTCATGTACTCCATTTCTACTGTCCTCTTTTCCGACGATGTATTAACTTCACATTTCGTACATTCTTGGCTATCCGGGATGAGCCGCGTCTCTGTCAATTGAACTGACGTTTCGGCCATCTTGCTGTGGCCTTCTTCAGAGCTATAACGTCAGTACAATTGACCGAGACGCGGCTCATCCCGGATAGTCAAGAATGTATTGACTCCTCCCGCGGAAGCCTACGAACGGATATTCACATTCCCTGGCGTGGAGCTGGCAGTAATTGTGCTTGCGCCCTAGGGGAGGTCGGTAGCTGACAGCCTTTTTTTTCTCCGCAGGTGAAGTTCAAGCGCGACCTGAGCGTGACGATCCGCGAGTCACGCGCTCCCCCTCGGCGCGGGGCGCGGCGGCGTCGCGGCTGCCAACCGCCGCCCG